TCTGTCAGAATGTAACAGAAATTTTCTTATTTCCTCACTATAATGAGATTTAAGTGCACCCATAAATGTTTTGTCAAGCGGTTGCAGCTTGTGCGTAGTATGAGGAGGCAAGCTAATAATGGTGACATGCTTTTCACGAGCAACTTCTAGAATATCAACATTACGAGTGTGGCTGTAATGTCCATCAAGTATAAGAAGGACCGGAGAATCCTCTGTTGGATTGGTCTTTGATACAAAATGATTGAACCATTCAGAAAATAAATTGGTTTGTATCCAACCGGAAGGGTGTACTTTTCCGATTGCTCCTGGCGGAGCCCCTTTCATTAATACATCTGTAAAATTTTTTCTTGGAAAAATTAACATTGGTGCGATGAAAGTCCCTCCTGCGCTCATTGCGCACACCAACGTCACTAAAGATCCGCGTTCTGCTGCAGTTAACGCCCCTATTTGCCTTTTACCTTTTCGTCCTATTACTTGCGGTACTTTTGATTGCACGATTGTGAGTCCAGTTTCATCTACGTTATAGACACGGTCGGGAGAATAATTTTTTCTTGCATATTCAACTTCTAACAGATGAAAAAACTCCTTAACAGCAGGGCGATTGAATCCTTGCACTCGAGCGTAAGATGTTCCCATTGGTTTTCTGAGAGATAATTGCTTTTTATGTCTATTTAAGAAATGGTCGAGCCATGCTCTACCTGCTCTTTCATTTTGAAATGCATTCTGGATGTTATTTCTGACTGCTAATTGATAAGCCATTCGCCTAACATCCAAGCGTGTAAGTCCATAAAAGGTGCGCTCCATTTGCAAAAGATAATCAACTAATTGTTTCTCCAGAGATAAAGGTAAAATAGTTTTTCTACCTAACGGTTTTCGTACTAACATATCCAATGATAACTCAGGATCATGAACTAGCCTTCTTAACGTAGTTCTTGGTACAGCAAATGTTTTGACTGCTTTCTTAAAACCCATATGCTTATTACGAACAGCCTCTATTGCCTTTTTCATGTCGTTAGGACTCCACAATTTCCTCTTTTTTTTCTCAGATTTAGGAGAAAGGTTAGTACGAGGCATCTGGAAATAATAAAATGCAAACATGTAATATGGCCCCCTCAATGTGTATGTAATATGAACCCGGGTCCATAATGCATACACATTCAGGGGGCCATATTAAATAAATAGTTACATTATAAACAAAATATCAAAAACAAGTTATATCTATTGCAAAATGTTCATAGCTACCTTTAAAAGTCGATATGCAACGGTTTTTCTACACACTAATCAGAGAAAGATAATGTTTATAACTGGTTTCTTGGAAAAAACAACATAAACACAAGAGCAGCAAAAAGTTTTGTTAAGCACGTGAATGAAGCGAGCTGTTTAAGTCGACTAAAGGCTAAGCGCGGTAGTTCTCGGGTCCTGACAAGTTTCGTTAGATAAAGATAGATGTAGTATCAAGTGTAAATCAACATTCGCATTGGCGGAAGTAACAAATTCACTCGGGGGCCGATTTACCAGCATGGGCCATATTCCCACCTTCTCCTCTAATTTTGCATTTCCGAATCATTATTTTTTTTAAGTTTGAAAAGAAAAAAAGTTAGCAATGTTTTTTATTATATCATTTTCTCCTATAGGCAAAATAAAGTGTTGTAAGATATCCTATTTGACAATATTTAAGAATCAATATATTATAAGTGTCCTAATAAATATGTAATTTAACAATTCTACTATTTTATTTCAAAACAAAGTTATAGCTTATCGATGGCCTAATTAACAAACCACATAACTCACATTATCCTGTTTTTACAGGAGCAACAAAAAACTAAATAACTTCGAAAACGTGGGCCTTACTAACTTTATATTTTTAAAAACACTAATATAAGCCTAATATCGATAGGATCTTTTCTTTGTATAAATAAACCTAGTATAATTCTTAATTGGAGTTATTAGTATTTACAGATTTAGTTACGAAGTTATGTGGTATTACTTTAACAGATATGTGGTTTGCAAACTTTCAATTATGGAGTTAAGTGGTTTTAAACCTAATATTCTATAAATTTGAACTACCTTTATTTGACCCAATGTTACAGAATATTATCTACATAGGAGAAATAAACTAAGGATAGTACAACTTGGATTGAAAAGGTGTATTACATTTGTTTTAAAAAAATTAAAAGTTTTGTTACATAGGTAAATTATCATAAAATGAGTGATAGTCTTTTCCAATACTCGGTTTCAGTTCTTGTATATGTTGATATTTAGCTGCAGTAATTTTCAGTCTGTCATTGTAAAGTAGTTGAAAGTTAGCTTCAAGGAGTTCTTGAACTTTGTCCTGGTAACTGGTCATAGATTTATTTGGATCTTGGCCTTTTCTTTTGGATTTTCTGGATCCTTCATCAACTGTTTCTTTGCTATTGTCACACGACGGTAGTAGTTTGAAGCCATCATTGAAGGACAGTTTGTAGTGTATTCTTCCATTAGCATCATATTTCAAGCATCTGATGTCTGTAACTTTGCGGTTCACTTTTCTAATACCAGGACAAATTAATTTGAACACCAATGGTTTCGTAAAGTCTTTGAAAAAAGAGTGATCCAAATACATCACTTTGTATGGACTTCTTAGCCTTGCATTTTTGCATGCGTCAATGTAGTCTGCCGTCACATTAATTTCTCTGTGTTTTATATATCATTCTATAGTCGCATGCATTGAGTCACACTCCATCTGAGTGTGACCCTTTTCGAGATATTTACTCTCTATAGTTATTTTGTGTTTAACGGCCACATGTAAGAGGGCGTTACTCATAACTGCACTTCGATTTTGGTAATTACAACCATCACTAAATATAACCATCTTCGTTGCATTGTTCCACAGAGGGGAAGTTGCGATTCAACAAAATGTGTTAAAATGCTGGCAAATTCATTTGCTGAAAGTTCCCCTTCCATCTCGTTCCAAAGATAACAAAACCCTTCCTTCATCTTTTTCTGTGCTATTTTCAAGCCAGTTTTTGACCATCCACTCACACAAATCCAAGGTTGATAGTAATGTTTTCTTGCAAACACGGACTTTAGTCATTTGATCAATAAATAGGTAATACTTAAAGGAATAAGATTGTCTTGATATATTTTCTTCTGATCTATCCCGAGCTCTTTGTGTCAAATTCACATCAGTTGAAGTTTTCACTAACATTGTTCTCTCTTTCCATGTTAACGCCCAAAAGTTGTCAAATATCTTTTTTCTCTCCTGTTCTGGAATGTTATGACATTTAAAAGTCCTTCCTTTACATTTGCAAGTGATTTTTTTCAGTGTTCTGTTTGGTCTAGGAATGTATTGTGTTACTTTCTTATCAGTTAATTTCCTTCCCATGTATTCCCTCCCTTGCTCACGTAAAATATTCGCCTCGTTACACTGCCAGTCATCCTCTGAAACTTGATGTCGTTTTTTTTCTTTTCCTGTTTGAGAGCTGATTGTTAACATCAGATAACCTATCTGGTTCCACTATATTTTGATACTTAAACTTAAAGATAAATTTTCAAAACGCAAACTAGAGTCTCGTATAACTGCCTGTATTGGAAATAAGATACTGCCATCTTTTACAACGAAAAATCCACATTGAAAATCATCGCTTCCATCATTTGTATTGTCTGGAGTTGAGATAGATATTCCCTCTGCTGGAAAAGACTTGTTCTCTTCAACTGATTTTGTGGTGCATTCTGCTATTATGTCAGTGTATAAACTGGAGTCATCTAAAGTGACGTCATTGTAGGTCTGAACTGGAAGTAATGTACGATTATCATTCTCTATTAAAAAATCTGATTTGGAATCACTGCTGTCAACTGCTGTGTTTGCCCTAGGAATTAAATTTATTTGTTTCTCTATTGGTATAGATGTATCATCTTGAAACAATTTAGCTGCACATTTTGCTAAGTTTAAAATTTTCCTTGTTCTTGAAAACATTTTTCTCCTGCAAACAAAACAAAATTCTGTTAGTGGTCAATTTTATTTGAAAATTTGACCACTTAACTCTTTCGAGTTTATACCATTCTTATGTAAACTACCATTGTAAAAACAAGTAACTCCATTATCATTCATCAATAAAACTAGTAACTCCAAAAAAAGTTTGTAGCATAACATGTAACTCCTAATACTAAAAATATATATATACTTTGTGGTAAAATCCTTATGGTATAATATAGTTGATAATTATTTAACATGAAACGTATTAAAACATTATTATATCTACATATTTCAACAGTAAATTATTTAATAAACAAAGAGTAAGTAACAAAACCCGTTACTCCACTGAATAAAAAACTAACCAGACATTTTGATTTGTAAGAAAACCAAATAGCTATAATGTACTTGGAATTTATCAAATTGCTAATATATTTGAGCATAAACAGGCGAGAATAAGCTGAGGTTAGAACATTAAAGTAACTTACTATCAAATTTGAGAGTCGTTGGATGAACAGGAAACATATATTTACACAGGCAGAATGAATCAGTCAAGCACCACACAACACAGGTGCTACACTATGGAAAAAGGTTGCCACAGATAGGAGTTACCAGGTTTGCATTAACAAATTTCTCACCAAAAAAGATACCTGTTTTGTTTTTCCCATTTCTATAATTAGTTAAATTTTTTTGGAGATTATTGCTTAGGCAGAAATGTAGAGCTATCATAGATCATTATAATAACATTAAAATCCGAAATTCGATTAATTTGGAGTTACGTGGTTTGTTAATTTGGCCGTCGTTATATTATTTAAACCACTGACTTAAAAAATAATAAAAAAGTCCTTATAGTAAAGATTTAATCAGTTTTTTGTTTCTCCTGAAAAAAGTGTTATAGAAGGTATCAAAGAATATACTACCTTTTATTTAAATTTTACCTTATTGAAGGTCATTTTTTTATGAGCAAGTCAAGAACAAAATGTGATTAATTCTAAGTCCTGTAAAATTTAAATAGCAAATAGTACGTTTATTTTTGGAAAATACTTACAGATTCGTTCTGGTCTTCAACCTCTGTATCGTTACTTGCCATTAATGCACCTAAGTTTACTTTAACTTCTTTAATATCGGTTCTGTTGTAAGCCATTATGCTAGGATCCCTAGCTTGCAAATATGATTTAACTAGTTCTTGTTCCATCGTTAACTACAAACAGTAAAATACTATTATTAAGGTTGGTTGCCAAAATATTGCTTTAGTGTAAGTAAAAGTAAATGTACTTACGTGACACACAAATTTTTTTAGTGATCAGTGATTTATTTGACAACAGAAAACCGTTTGGTTTGCTTTGCCGTTAATTTAAACTTGATTTAAAGTAGTGTCATCTGTCATCTACAACAGCCTGACCAGTGATATGTAAGAGAGAGCCTGACCCACGATCAGTGTTGCCGATTTCACGAAATGAAATTGCCAATTATGTTAGGCCGCTGCTAAAATTATGTTAAAATTTTTGCAAAAATATGTTAAAATTTTTGCAAAATTATGTTAAAAATTTATATCCTGGTAGTTTCTAAAAATAATAAGAACATAAGAAAAAAATTATTTTATTCCAGTTAACTTGTTAATTCAAAAAAACAAAATATATGTAATATCAAATACTATAATAAAACTAATTTACATCTGGAACGCTTTCAAATAAAATTTCCTCATCCTCATCTTGTGAAGATGAAGAGTTCATGTGATTAAAATAATTTAAAATTTTTTTGTCTGTTTGAAAGAAGTAACATTCTTTTACTCCTTCAGTTGCTAACACCATGATACTATGATAAGAAGATAAGATATTGCCATCGACAAATTTTGCTCGATGATCCAAAGGCTGCGTGATCGTGGCGTGATCACCGAGTGTCGGAGAGTTGCATAGTTGTGATCATAGATAAATAATATAGTATATGTTGTGATTAGCTGTCTGCAGACGTACGAACATGCATGACTGCATGTACATGCGTTTGAAACCGAACGGGAGAAGCCGTGTACACAACGCACCATATTAAATAAAATCATCCATCTTTTTTAGATATAGAACTTTAATATCATCATTTTATTGATTATTTAACTTGCATTATTTGCGGCTTCAAACTGATTAGATTAACGAAACTTTGGTTTGATTTGGTTTCTTTAATCTAAGGATTACTCACATAAATAAAATAAATTTTTACATAAAATCGTATTGCAAAGCAGCATATTTGATTTTGATTCAAAGCACGTAATGGTTTGGAAATGAATCATTCGATGGGATTGATTTTAAATAGCGCGAACGAAATTAAAAATTTTGTTTACTTAAAATGGTTGACAAAAACCGAAAAAAACATTGATCAGCAATAATCACTACATCGTTATATGCAGCATTCTTCGTAATACAGATGTTTCGTGTGTATACACGAATTGTTTTTGAATCGTCTTTTCAGAAGACGATAATTAAAAATACAGAAATTTAAATTTGATGATTTTTCGGACTAGTTGGTCAAACGATTCATACTACATAATCAATAATAAATTGTAATTATCATAACTCCATTATTACAGTGGCAAATAGAGAAATATAATTAAGTTTTCAATATGTATATTATGTATGGGTTTTACCCATCGAGCAAAAAGACAAAAGAGGGAATGTAAAGGTAGTGGGAACAAAAATATTGTTAGACAGGAAGTGCTATCTTGAGAGGCCACTTTAAACAAGGAAAGACAGTCTCTTTCCTTGTTTAAGAAATCAAATTTAGTTTGGTTATGTTATTGTTTGTCCCAACTGCCACATGAAATTTTATTTATATTGAAGTTTTTTTACCAATTGTGTCACTTTTTAGACTATTATCGTTAATATTTAATTAAAACTTTCTCGTCTGAAAAATATTTTATAGCTATTGTTAATAAGTGTCCGAAAATTTAAATTTAGCGCCTTTGCATTTCCGGATATGTCCGCCATCAGAGGCCACTTTTTTGGTCTCCTTTTCATAACGATTAGATTCCCTCTTTTGTCTTTTTGCTCGATGGTTTTACCGCATTCACTGTGATAATTGTATCTATCTTCTTGACCTAGTGTAAATCGAACTTGTGACGTTGGGAACTGCAACTCATAACCAGCGCATGGTGTTCACGTGATAATCTATCTGTTCGGCAGCCCAACCAATCCATTTACTGTTTGGGTACATAATTTGGGAACTAATATCTGCAGATTGTTCACGATTTTTTAAAACTGATTTTCTCTCAAGACGTTAGTAATGATAGTTGTCGTTTTGGTTCTTCCCATTGACACTTTTTTCAAAATTTGTGAATCTGGAAAAGCGGATTGTAGAAGTGGAACTAGACGCTCACATAATCTTATTGGAATTGTCTCCGCGACAATTCTGTTACTGAATCCTTCCGCGATGTAGGGAATCTCCAAATCATAGTTACTGTACTTTCCCGAGCTACATTATAAGAATCAGTTATGTTAGGCAATTCTACATACAGGTAATTATTATTCTCAGCTTTTATTTTGATTTTAAATCTTATAAAAGGCCAATGTATTATGTCCCAATTATTCCTAGAGGCATACGTATAAAATTATGTTAAAATTATCAATTATGTTAAAAAATATTTATTATTATCATTTATGTTAAAATCTGATAATTATGTACAAATCGGCAACTCTGCCCACTATTCTTTGCAGACTTGCGCGTGGCGCAGTTCATTTGTACCATTTCTGAATGTGTCAATGAGGTTTATGTGTATTGTTGGTTGCGACCATTTTATAAATTAGTAATATAATAATTACAGTAAAATCTCGATATAACGACCTCTATTTAACGGACTTCTAATATAACGGACAAATAATCCGGTCAAATGTAAAAAAATGTGAAACTTCAAAAGAAGAAGCAGTTTTAAAATAGTATGGTCAAAAACGTTCTAATGGGATTCTGGTCCGATCAGTGGAATTGAAATCTGCTGCAATTAAATTAGCAAATCATATGGACATACCATTCAAAGCAAGTGATATATGGCTCTGGCGCCTTCGCGAAAGGCACGGAATCGTGAATAAAAGAATAGATTTAAGGTCGATTCAGACACCTCAGTCACGTCTCATCACAGTCCTGTCGCCGAACCGAACAATCCGTCATACAAAATATTCTTTAATAGAAATATAGCGCCGGCATTCACATTCATCGGTTGACGAACAGTTTTCCAGCTGTCAGATAGTTGATAGTTCTGTGACCAAACAGGACCGGTTCGGCGCCGAAACTGTGACGTGACTGATGTGTCTGAATCGACCTTTAGAAGGGTTGAAAGTTATTGATGGTTTCTGTAGGACAATACATGATAATGACAAAGAACATGTAGCTGAGGAAGATGTTTTACAATGACTAGAAGTAGATGAAGGTAACCCTGGGTATAACATCATGACTGAAAGTGAAATAGCAGATGAAGTTATGAACCAAAAAAATTAGGATGGAAGTGAAAATGGCGAACAAGACGACAAAACAAGACTGTTAAAAATGTATAATAAAATCGCATCTCGACGATCTAATAACATTTAATTGATCATTCATCAAATAGTTAGACTGTATTCTAAGCATTTTCGTGATTTTAGAGAGTTGATCATAAAAAAAGCAAACATCGCAAGTGAAACAAAACAGGATTACCGACAGCAAGCGCGTCGATGTCCACAGCAATGTCACTTCACGACGAATGTCCGAAGACAATTAAATAGAATTTTGTTTATATTTTGTATCATCTGTATTATCTGAATATTGTGTACATACATTTTCATTTTCAAAAAAAAAAGTTTTTTGATTTATTTTAAACATATTTTTATATAACGGACTTTCGGCTTTAACAGACACGTTCCCCTGAGTGGTCCGTGATATCGAGGTTTTACTGTACTTCAATCCATCTATTTAACCCGTTTGATAAATTTAATAATGTTTAAATTATAAGAATAACTCTAAAATTAATAATAAATAATAGCAAATCAAAATTAAATGTTTTTTTAAATAGTTTTAAAAAGTATTTAAAAAAATACTTTTTGCTCATTTTTTCCAATAAAAATTTGTTATTTTATATACAGGATGTTGACTGATGTTATATATCAATTACTATGATACCAACGTTCTTATTTGAAATTAAACATTGGTTATATTATAAAATTTTTGGATTCTGCACAAAATTCCCAAAACTTTGATATATTGCATGTTATAGTTTTAATTAACTTATTTTAGGATACAAAGTGGTTAATGAAAAGATCACTCTCTGCGTGTCTCCTTATGACTTTAAAAGGTTCTATACCTAATTTCAATAAAGAAGAGCGAGTTCATTTTCGTATCTCAACTTGTTTTTAATATTGTATATAGTACCTACTCTAAGATATGTACCTATATTAAATAGATATTATGTCAAATAAATGAAACCTGCCTATACTTTTACCAGTTGTGAAATGGAATATTGACTTGCATGTCGTCATAGCGAGACAAAAACAGGGGACTTATTATATACGTAACATATTTTAACGATGCATCATATGGCAACGTTTGTTCCATTACTGTAATGAACAACTTCAAAACTTAAACTATTAACGGTAAGTATACCCATAGATAAAATTTATAGATTGGTAACAGGGATAGGCAATGTCAAATCACGTTCGGATTTAGGCGCCCATTCGTTTGGTGGCGCTGCTAGTCTCGTTTCTACGCGTAGGGAGTGTGCTGTGGTCAAATCAAAAGTTGAATTTAGACAAATACGGCGCCATATTTTTATTTGTTTTATTTTTTATAATTTATTTTATAGTTTAAATTTTTTTATATAAGTAGTGCAAAAAGGTAAATTTTTAGACGATTTTTTATTATGGAATCGAACACATTACATGGAATAACAATATAGTGACGAAGAACTGAACAAAAAAGATGTATTCCAGATTGCATGGATACTAGGCAAGCACACTACCGCTGGCAAGCAATACCGTTTTTCAAGTCCAGGAGATTATAATATGGATATGTTTAATAAATGGGTGAATGCTGTTAAAAGCCCTAATTAGAGAATGCTGCAACAGAAACTATTTATAACAATTTTCGTGTATGCACTAGTCATTTTAAAGAGGATGATATAATTAATGTTGGACATACCGGTATTACGAGAACAGCCCTTCTGAGTTTGTTTTTACCAGCACCAGGTAAGAACTATTATGCCAATATATGTATGTATGTGACCTTTTACTTATAAAATTAGTTAATTATAAATTTAACCTAATTATAAAATCAGACTTACTTGCTTACTATTTGAATTATTTTGTAGGTGGTGGTTCAACAACTATCTTAA